CTGTGCACACAGTAGGTGCTTAACAAATTTTTTTACTGTGCACACTGTAGGTGCTTAACAAATACTTACTGTGGCTGTCAGTACAGTTGCCTAACAGGGGATAGAAGACTGGACTAAGTTAGAATTCCGCTTCAGGCATTGCTAGCTGTGTATACGTCGTTTTGCTATCCTGAACCTCAGTTTCCTTGTCTGTAAACTGGGCTACCTAATACCTGTAGTATACATCAGAGGCTTGTTGTCAGGCTCAAGTGAGATAAAGCACGTGATGTACCTTGTAAACCTTAAAGCACCGTGGAAATGCCAGATGTGATTGTTGTTGTTATTGTCATCTGATATTTGTTGAATGTGTGAACAAATAAAGGAGCGAATGAACAAATGGATATGTGACTGTGTGGTGGGTAGGAGGCTGAAGTAAGGAACAGGATGTTCACATCTTAACAGTGTCTTCCATTTGCATAATGGATTGTTAGCTTTTCCAACTTGTTATCGTGCTATCCCATTCTCCTCTAGGGAATTCATTCAGCCCCCACCTAGCCAGGGCCCACTTACTGATCTGGGTCACTCCAGACCTTGGAAACACCTCCTTTCCCTTCTCTTTAACCCTTAGAGTCTCTCTTGCACATTCTCTGAAGACTTTTCACCAGACAAGTTGAAATCACAGTGAGTGTTTGGATGCAGTTAGACTGTTTGAGCAGCACTAAGGAAGGTTTTGAATCATAGAATATGGAATGTCAGGGCTGGGAGGGCCCTTAGAACCCAGGAGGTCAGAGCTGGGAGGGCTCTTAGAACCTCAAGTGTCAGATCTGGGAGGGCCCTGAGAACACAGAATGTTGGGGCTGGGAGGGCCCTTAGAACCCAGGAGGTCAGAGGTGGGATGGCCCTTAGAACCCAGGAGGTCAGAGCTGGGAAGGACCTTAGAACCCAGGACATCAGAGCTGGGAGGGACTTTACGACCTAAAATGTGAAGGTGGAAAGGCCTTTAGAGCAGAGAATTTCAAAGCTGGGAGTGAAGTTTGAGACCAGATAGTACAAACCCTTTATTGAGGAGTTTGCGTTCACTGGCACTGTGCTTTAGACGTGGTCACACGGGTCATTCATGGCAGAGCCCAGGTCTTCCACCTTCTTGTCCAGGGTTCCTTGAAGTGCACTTTCCAAAGGGGATGCTGAATCCAGTAGTAAAAATGACATTTGGGGCTTGCCTGTGGATTTTCTTTTATCCAAGTTGCCCCTGGGCATTTGAGGCCTGGCTTTGTGATGGGCTTTTCAGCATTTTTAATGCAGCTTTTAAAGGGGGGGGCAATCTTACCCCCAGTCCCAGACTGAAGTTGATATTTGCATGAAAAGAATGGAGGAGGGGGTAGTCTGGTGCAGTGGGTAGAGCCTTGGAACTACGAAGGCCCAACTTCAATCCTAGCTCTTGCCAATTCAATGGTTTTATGACCTTGAGCAAGATATTCATCCATCAGTTTATTCATCCATCAAATGAGCATAATCATCTTTACTCAAACTGTGTCCCAGGGTGATGGTGAGGATAGAGCCATATACTCCATAAATCACTAAGAAAATGGGAGCTGTCATCATTGTCACCATCAGAGCCTTGTCATTGGATAAGGCAGCTAGGTGGTGAGCTGCCATCGTCAGCTCATCATCAGGAGCTGGAGTTAGGGAAACCCGAGTTCAAGTGCTCCCCCAGCATTTGCTGGCTATGTGAACCTGGGCAAGTCATCTGACCTTTCTGAGCCTCAGTTTCCTCATCTTTAAAATGGGGTGAATGCAGCACCTACCTTCCAGAACTGTTGTGAGGATCAAATGAGACAATTGAAAATTGTAAAGCAGTAACTAAGTGCTGCTTTTTGTCACTATTATTGTTGGGCGTGGAGGTGGCACAGTGGGTAGAGCACCAGGCTTGGAGTTGGAAAACCTGGAGTTTAAATCTGGCCTTAGGCAGTTACTTCACCCTGTTTGCCTCAGTTTCCTCATCTGTAAAATGAGCTGGAAAAGGAAATGGCAAACCACTCCAGTATCTTTGCCAAGAAGACCACAAATGGGGTCACAAAGAGTTGGATACCACTGAAATGACTCAACAACCATGACAAAAGGCCGTATAACAAGAAAGGTAGTACAGTGGATACAGCACCAGGCCTGAAGTCAGAAAGACTCATCTTTGTGAGTTCAAATCTGGCTTCAGACATTTACTAGCTGTGTGACCCTGGGCAAGTCACATCACTCTGCTTGCCTCAGTTTCCTCCTCTGTAAAATGAGCTGGAGAAGGAAATGGCAAACACTCCAGTAACTTTTCCAAGGAAACCCCAAATGGGGTCACAGAGAATCGGAAGTGATTCAACAAGAACAAAAATTATTGCGTGATGATAAGTATTATTATCCTGGAAGAGACACAGCCTCTTGGGCTCTAGAGAGGGTCATTTTATGGCCCTGCAAAGCGCAGGGCCCTTTGCTGATTTTCTTCTTGCTGTGGGTCGGCATATCCCAGCCTAGGACATACCAGGACATCTTTGCTGGTGTCACTGAGGAGGTCCAAGCAGCCAGAGGGCTGAGGAAGACATCGATCCCGGGCTGGCTGATGAGCCTCCTCTCCTTCCCGTCAGTGACTCCACGTCACTTAGCTAGTGCCGAGTCGCAGACGTGTAGAATTACAAGAGGTGACATCTCCTCCGTGAGGTACCTGCTCCCATGGCACGGGCTGCTCGCCTCGCCCCAGGACACACTGGGTCACGGGTCTGTGGATCTACCAGCTGGTGAGGCGGGGAGCTCAGAGAGGGCACTGTGCGGATCACAAGGGGATAGGAAGGGAATCTTTCATGATGGCACAGGCAGGAAGGACTTGAGGGAGAGGCCTTTGATGAAGCTGCCTCAGTTGCAGTGGGAAGACTCTTGGGGCAGGAGACAGGTGTTGGTGGCCTGCCTGTCATCATTTTGCTTTGTGAATTTCAGTTTCTTTGTCACTCCAGTTCTCTGTTAAATGTCTGGATTATCTGACATGGGAGGTTCCTTCTAGATCTAACATTTTCTGTTCTAAAGACCTGAGGTATCTAGATGGTATAGTGGGTAGAGGGCTTGATTTAGTTTAAAGAGACCTGAGTTTCGGTCCTACCTTAGATGCTGGCTGTATAACCCTGGACAAGTCACTTAACCTTTCTCTGCCTCGGTTCCCTTATCGGTAAAATGGGAACAATAATAGGGCCCACCTCTGAAGCTTGTATGAGGGTCAAATGAGATGTTGGTAAAGTGCTTTAGAAACTTGAAAGAGACAGAGAAATACTATTATTGTTATTGGAAATGCTAAATTTAGAGTTTGAGCTCTTGGTAAAGATGCCTGCAGGTCTGACAGTCTTTGTTCTGAAGTTCCTTCCATTTGACATCCTTTTTCTCTTAATTCTTTGTGATTCAGAACATGAAACATCAACAAACATGAACATTTCCGTATACAAAGAACGGAAAATGACTTCATGGGAATCTGTGAATTTTATCAGGAGAGCTTGTACTTTTTTTAATGTGTATAATGAGTTTAACACATTAACTTCAAAGCTATTCTGCTTCCGTGTCTCCCTCTGAACTTCTTTCTGTCCACGCATTTTAAAAAAAGATTCAGTGATACTCTTTTCTCTCCCTTTCCCTCGAATTATCCCCATCAGCCTCCCCACCTCAGTTTTCCAAATTAAAAAAAATATTTTAGAAAACAAATCTATATATTGACCATGTCCGAAAACCTATATTTCATTCTATACCTTTGTTCTGTCCTCTCTTGTCATGAGGTGGGTAGCACTCCTCATCATCAATTGTCTTGTGTGTGTCTATATATCTATATGTGTGTGCCCACACATTATCTATGTGCATCTATATTATACATAAGAATCATAGTTTGTGAGTGTATTGATCAGAGTCCTCAAATCTCTCACAGTTGTTTTTCTTTATAGTGTTGTCATTGTATAAATTGTTCTGGTTCTGCTCTTTTTACTCTGCATTAGTTTGTGAAAATCTTCCCAGGTTTCTCTGAATCCATCCCTCTCATCTTTCTTATGGAAATGCCATAGTTTGATTCTCCAGTCCCCAGTTGATGGGAACCATCTTTATTTCTAGTCCTTTGCTACAACCCAAAGCACTGCTATAAATATTTTTGCATCCTTGCACCATTTTCCTCTTCTTTCTTTGCCTTTGTGGGTAAACACCTAGTAGTGGTATCACTAACATCAAATGGTATACACTTCAGTGACTTTTCAGTATAGTTCCAAATTGTTTGCCAGACATATAGTCTATAAATATATAGTCTATATATCCAATTATATAGTCTGTATATCCGATGACAGTGCATCAGTGTGATTATTCTTCCACATCCTCTCTAACAATTATTATTTTCCTTTTTTATTACCTTTGCTAATCTGATACGTGTGAGATGGAATCTTAGCATTTTAATTTACATTTCTCTTATTAGTGATTTAGAACAGGGCTTTTTTTTTTTGAGGGGGGAATAGCTATTAATAACTTGATTTTTTTTTTCACTTGAAAACTGCCTATTCCTATCCCATTTCTTTACTGGGGAATGGCTTTCATTCTTACGAATTTAAGTCTGTTCCTAATAAGTTATTATTTTGTATTGATATTCATGATTGATTTTGGTCTGTAGTTTTCTTTCTCTGCTTTCTCCCTGGTTTAGGTATTAAGAATATATTTATATCATAAAGGAAATTGTTGTAAGGGCCCTTGTAGCTCTGGCTTCAATCTTCTAGAATATTGGTTAGAGGATTTTCCAGGCATTAAAGTAGCCACGAAATAAGCAGAAAAATTAATTGCTATCGTGTCTTACTGGCCCAAGAGCCTAGAAACACACTGCAGATTACTGTGTTGGGCAGTGCTCCTGGGGGTGGTCTAGGGTCCCGGGACCTAGAGGGGTTTGATCTTGGCTGCAGGAATTTTTAACCGTTCTCCCCCCTCTCCCCACCAGAACTAATCAAATCCTTCCTACCTTGTCCCATTGGTTCCAGGGGAAGAGAATCAGCCTGGCTGGAAAAGCCCTGATGAGGACAAGAAGAGCAAAGCCCCCTTCTGGTGCCCAATTTTGGCCTGTTGCATCCCTGCCTTTTCCTCTCGCACCCTCAGCTTTCAGGTGAGTAGAGTCTTGGCCTTTCTATGCTGAATAGACATAAGGAGGATGTATTTTCTTTCTGGGAGAGAGGAGCTATTGAAAAGCAAGAGCTATAACATGGGGGCTGAGAATTGGGGGAGGGCAGGCTTTATCATCTACTTCAAGTGCGATGCCAGGTAGGCCCTTTCATTGCTTAGTGACTCAGTTTCCCCATCAAATCAGTGAGGATAATTGCTGCTTATTGGAGTTTGCTGCCTTCTGTGCCAGATACAGTTTTTCTAAATCTTTCTCTTTCTACCTTCAACATCTTTCTGATATTCCAGATTTGATATGCTCTTTCTTCATTCCTTCTTGATTCTATAAATTTTGATCTACTCCCCTTTTTACTTCTTTCTTTCTGTACCAAGAAGTCTAATTTTCTTTGGTCTTTCTTCATATGTTAGGTCTCCAGTCAGTACGTCAATAAGCACTTATTTATTGATCATCTTCTATGTACCAGGCACTGTGGATACAAACATAATAAAGGGAATGGCCCCTGCCCTCAAGGTGCTTACATTCTACTAGAGCAGAGGACACCCTTAGATTAGGCATATACAGAATAAACAAAAACAAGATGGTTAAGGTGGGAGGGCAATGGTAGCATTTGGAAAGATTAAGGAAGGCTTCAAAAAGAAGGTGTGGCTTAAGCTGAGTTTTGAAGGAAATGATCATTCTCTTTTGTCCCCAGCATCTTTAGTCTTCTTGTTTTGTTTTGTTTTGTTTTTAGGCAATTGGGGTTAAAGTGAGTTGCCCAGGGTCATACAGCTAGTAAGCGTCAAGTGTTTGGTCTGAGGCCGGATTTGAACTCAGGTCCTCCTGATTTCAGGGCCGGTGCTCTATCCACTGCGCCACCTAGTTGCCCCTATCTTTAGTCTTCCTGAGGGTTAGAACCATGTCCTCTACTTGTAGTGGGGATTCTTTTTTTAATTTGAGTTGTCATAGGTGGCCCATGAGTTGAGCTCTGAAGAGTCAACAAGTAATTATGAGATATCCTTCCAAATCTGTGAGCCTGGGGTTCTGTGATTTCTTTTGGCTCCCAGCATCCAAACTGAAGAAATGGCCACCTATGAAAATGGGAGACTAGACCTTTGGGGAGTTGCCTAAAATTATCTTATTTCTTACTCTTCTCTTATCTTATTTCTTACTCTTCTCTCCCATGTCAGATGATGAGGGGCAGGAGGGGAAGACCATAGCTACCTCTTAGGTGACCAAGAGCAGTCTGCTATCTCCATCCTACTGGTGCCATTGGGTGTCTAGGACAATGCCTTGCGCATAGTGGGAGTGCTTAATTAATGTTTCTAGAATTGTACTGAATTACTTCCCATCTTCCTTGAAAATAGAAGACCACAATCAGATTATTCAATGACAGGAGCAGCATAGACAATCTTAACCTTCCAGCCAGTGATGTAAGGCATTGCCTCTTTGACCCTCCTGGGCAAGCGTCCAGTATCCAAGCCTTGGATTGCTTAGGATAATAAAGTTGTTCTCATCCCAGGAGAAGGCTTATATTGGCACTGGTTGAGGAGTTGAATTTGGCCTTCTCCTCCAAATCCCAACTGGCTGGGCAGTCTGAATGTCTTAATATTTTAATTTGTGGCAGATAACAACAAAGACTAAATCTTATTGGCCCCATTAACTCTAATGGGGCAGGTCAGAGCCACTGGCCTGAGGCCTTCCAAAGCCCTTAAGAGAACCATAAAGGAATCTGAGAGCTGAGAGGAACTGCTCACCCTGTGATTAATTCTGAGCATGCTAGGTGGCCACAGAGCCTATAACAGCTCATGGCATACTTCTTGATTATAAAGCACTGACTTTCAGGCATCTTTCCTGTGGGTCCTTAGAGCATAGAATGCTAGAGCTGGAAGGGAACTTAGACTGTGGAATATGAAACCAGAGCTAGGAGGGAACTTGGAACACTTAATAGCTGGGAGGGAGCCTAGAACATATTTCAGAACTGGTCAAAGCCTTATTGAATGATAGACCTGGAAAGGGCCTTAGGATAGAGAATTTTAAAGCTAGGAGAGACCTTAATGTTCATCTCATCCAACGCCCTTGTTTTGCCAAGGAGGAAACTGAAGTCCCATGTAGAAGTGACTTGACCAAGCTCTCCTGGTGAGCCAGTGGTCAAAACTGAGACTGAAACCCGGGTCTCCTGCTGCCCAGTCTAGTGATTTTTCTATTATGTCGACTTAATATAAATGTAAAATTATGTATACAAATTTAATATGAATATAGCACCTGAAAGTTTTATTTTAATGTATTCTATATAAAGTTATATTTTGTTGATTAGAGATGAGAGAAAAGACATCAACATGAATAGGTGGAATGACATTTACAAAAACACGTGAAAAGCATGGTATATGGATGTAGGGTGAGCTGTAGACGGTCTGAAAGCTGGAGATATACACAGTGGGTAGAGTGCTGGCCCAGGAGTAAGGAAGACCTGAATTCCAGTCCTGACTCTGACCTAGATGGTCTACGTTATCATGGGAATGTCACGACATATCAAGCAACTCGATGAGACTGTAAGTTACCAATGAGCCCCCTCTACCAATAGAAGGAATTCCTTACACTGGGAAATTATGGGTGTTTACTGCTTCCCTCCCTTTCGCCCATAAATGCCAAAGGAGCCAGATGTGGGCCGTGGGTCTAGAGATGGAAGGGGAGCTCAGAGATCATCTGGTCCAACTCATTAATTTTAAAGATAAGGAAACTGAGGTCCAGAAAAGTGAAGTGACATCAGAGCCAATATCCTTTCAGGGAAGACATGGCTAATCCTTCACCGTACAGACCAGCCTCATTTTTCACAACCAGCAACAGGAATCTTTCTTCCTCCTCCTCTCTTTTCCCCTGGTATTTCCTTTTCAAGGAAATGATGAAAAGATGACTTTCTAGTTAAATTATCTCCCTCTTTTGAAACTCTGGTAATGTAGTTAAATTTTTTTTATTGATGTCTATTTTCCTCTCCAACACAGTCATCTAAAGCAGCAAGGGGGCATGTGGTTGGGAAGGCAAGAGTTCAGATGCTGCAAAAAGTCACTTAACCTTTCTCAGCCTCAGTTTTCTCATATGTAAAATGGGGTTAATCATAGCACCTGCCACACTGGACTTTTTATCAAATGTGGTAGTCTATGTAAAGTGCTTTGCAAACCTTACCGTGCTATGGAAATGTTAGCTCTATTCTTTCAATAGGTTGAACTCTCCCTTGTGACAAAACAAAACAAAACAAAACAAAACAAAACCCACCCCTGTTAAACCTGAATATGGTGAATAGAGCACTGGCCCTGGAATCAGGAGGATCTGAGTTCAAATCTGGCCTCAGACCCTTGACACTTACTAGCTGTGTGACCCTGGGCAAGTCACTTAACCCTATTGCCTAGCCAAGAAAAAAAATCAAATCAAATCAAAACAAAACAAAACAGAAAAACCTGAACATGTAATCTGACACATCCAGCAGGCTATGCAATATTCTGTCCTACTAGTTCCCCCACCCCAACCCTTTGCCACGAAGGACAAGGTATATCTTATTATTTGTTCTCTGGGGACTCCATGAGTTTTTCATTTATTCTGAGCTGGATTTCCTCCTAGAGGTCTTTTATGTTGTGATCTCTCTCAGTTCAGCTTATTCTGGTTTTCTCAGCTCAATCAGAAGAACGTCCCATATTTCTCTGAATTTCTTTTCTCTTAATACATAATATTTAACCATTACTTTCCTCAACTGGAGTTATTTTCATCCATTTCTCAATTAAGCACCTACTATGTGGCTGTCACTATGCAGAATGTTTCGATATGATTGGATTTTTGTTTTTTGCTTTCTTGGGGGCATATGACCAGTTTATAAGTCTTACTGTCTATACCAGGTTTCTGGAATTTATCCTACCTTGTCTGGTATCATTGGCTGTCTCCTCATAAGACACGCGTCTTCATACCTAGAGGTGACAATTGTTTTCCCAAACATGTTTATTTGTTAGATTACAAGTTCCTTGAGGGCAAGGACTGTCTTTTGCCCCAGTACGTTGCACTTTGCCTGGCACATAGTAGGTGCTTGGCAAATGCTTACTTTCTGACTGACTGACTTTCACAGAGGCATAGGTTTAGAGTTGGAGAGTGACTCAGTCTTTTCTTACTCAAACACACCCATTTTCCAGATGATGAAGGTAAAGTTAAGTGACCTGCCCATGAATAGTCAAGTAAGAGTCTGGATTCCCACCCAGGACCTCTGATTCTCAATCCAACGTTCTTTCCACTGAACTACCCTACCTTTCCATCTAGACTGTGTTTCCAGAAGTAAGAATGAGGCCCAAGGGGTAGAAGGAGCCATACTTTAGCTCAATATCTATCATTCATTTCAGTTCTATAGGCTGAACTAAAGTTTTAAATGCCTATTGTGTGTTGCAGGGGATAGAGCAGTGGTTCTGGAGTCAGGAGGGCCTGAGTTCAAATCAGACCTCAGACACTACCTGTGTGACCTTGGGCAAGTCACTTAACTCTGATTGCCTCCAACCAAAATAAATGCCTACTGTGTGCAGCACCCAATGGAGTAATAATAAGAGCAAGAACAACAATAGCTAGCATTTATAGAGTGCTTTAAGGTTTTCAAAGTACTTTACCTTTGTATCTTATCTCATTTGACCCTTACAACAACCCTGGGAAGTAGACGCTATCGTTATCTCCATTTTACAGTGGAAGAAACTGAGGCAGACAGAGGCAAGTGACTTGCCCAGGGTCACACAACTAGTAAGTCTATGAGGTAGGATTTGAACTGAGGTCTTTCTGACTCCAGGCCCAGCACTCTATCCACTGTCCTGTCTAGTTTCTTCTTAAGTGCTTTGCATTTTGGAAGGACAACTCAGTACTCTGCTCATTTGGCACAGGGCTGCCAGAAACAAATTTATTAATTACCTATCCAAGTGTGATTTCTTAGAAAGAGAGAACAAAGGGCTGGTGGAAAACCTCGCTGTGACCTGAGCCTCTTCTAATTA